TAAGCATAACCCATGGACACAGACGTTGTGGGGAAGGCCTGGGAGTGGGGTGGATGCGGGGTGGAAGGGATCAATGGGGGGAAAGGGGACATCTGTAATACTTTCAACAATAAAGATATATATTTTTTTAAATATATCTTTATTGATTTCAGAGTGAGGAAAGGAGAGGGAGAGAGAGAGACAGAAACATCAATGATGAGAGAGTCATTGATCAAGCCCACAACTGGGCATGTGCCCTGACCGGGAATCGAACCCTGATCGCCTGGATCCCAGGTCAACGCTGAACCGCTGAGCCACGCCCGACCGGGCTTAAAAAAATTTTTAAAAATAAAATATAGTCTCTAACATTTTTTCTTGGTACTTAATGTTTTATGTGGTGGTTTTTAATGTATGCGTATATTGGTTCTTTGTGGCATCAGATAATGAATGTATTTATAGGTACTCAAACTGATTTAGGAGATCTTGGGTAATCTTAGATTTAAGGCAAACTAGCAGTTCTTTGAACTGTTTATAAATTTTACTATTAGGAAAGATATTTAACTGGAAAAAGGTTATATTTAAATCATGTAGAATCAAGTGACTGATCTTATATAGAGTAGCTTGTTGTACATGCAGTTTAGTGATGTGACCAATACCAGTAATACGGCATATTTATTTTAAGGAATAAGTAATATTCTTTAGATTTGTCTAGTTTAGTTCTGTTCTCTTGTCTTCACAATATAATAGTATTTTGTTCTTTGATCACTGAGCCAACCATAGTAATTTCCAGATCTCCCTTTACATTGTAAACTAATGTGCCCCAACTTGGCTGGTAGGAAGATGTGTAAATAGCATGTACATCAGCAAGAAGGAGTCATTTAGAAAAGCTAGTGGAAGGACAGGGAAGATGGAAGAAAATGAATTGAGAGGGTTTGAATGAATATCTTAAGCAGTGGTGGCCTGTTGAAAAAATGGGGAGCTGGGGAGGTAGGAAACCAGGACTTCTCTACTGAATACCAGGGTGCCAAGCAGAATATGCTATATGTGTTAATTTAGGTGAGGAAGTACATTCATAAAATCTAGGCGTACATGTAAAGTTGACACCACCTTTTTATCTTTATCAATGCTAGTGCGTGTTTGGTGGTTATATATGTGCCAGGCAATTCTTAAGCACATTCGTGATCACTTGTTTAATCCTTTATAATTTAATAGAGAATCTTAACAGAATCTTTTGTTATGCTAAGGACACCATTGGCAGCCTGGTTAAACCTGTGGAATCCTTCTCAGAATGTTTTGTTTTTTTGTTTTTGTTTTCTTTATATATCTTTATTGATTTCAGAGAGAGGAAGGGGGAGAGAGAGATAGAAACATCAATGATGAGAGAGCCATTGATCAGCTGCCTCCTGCACACCCCCAACTGGGGATCGAGCCTGCAACCCAGGCAAGTGCCCTGACCAGGAATGGAACTGCGATCTGGATCCTAGGTTGATGCTAAGCCACGCCCGGCCAGGCCCGAATGTTTTGAAAGAATAAAACAAAATATATAGGATCAGAAATGAAACCAAGTATGTTGAAATACAGCTATTAAAATATTAAAAATCTGACATAGTAATATGAGCTTTAAAACATTAAAATATAAGGTCTATTTATATGATTATTCTAGGGCCATCTCTTATATCCAGTTTCTCACACTCTATCAAAATTGTTTGGGTTAAACATGATGGGAAATCTGCCCCAAACTGGTTAATCTAAAAACAAACAAACTGTGGGTTTATGTATGTGAGCAGTGCAGAAGTATATTTAGTTTTAAGCACAGCTTGATTCGTGTCTCAAACAAAGTGATTAGTTTCCATCTTTCAGTTTCCTCTGGGTTCTTTAGGCTCTACATGGTGGCTCTCCTGGCAGCAGTAGCCTCACACCCTCATTTAGTCTCACACTTTTTCCTGCTTTCTACATAGTCTTCCTATATTTTGTTACCAAAATGATATATCTCATTTCCCAGATGTATACAAATATATTTACAAAATCACCTCAGTTGTGGGGGAAATATATAATAACACCTTAATTAACTGGCCTATTTATACTTGTCAGTTGAAATTTTATGCAAAAATTGTAGGTTAAAACTCAAACCATGGATAGTGGTGATAGTTGCACAATGTCAGTGTACTTAATTCTACTTAATCATATTGTTCAAAATGGTTAAAGTAATACATTTTATTATGTATATTTTACCACAATACAATTTTTAAAAAGAAAAAGGTGGCGGCATTTTGGGGATATCATAATAAGATAGTGTGAGGGTCCAGACAGTTTGGCTGAGGTGGGTTAGAGAGCCAGCATGCTAAACAGTGCTGCCTACCTCCCATTACCTAGTTCGTATGAAACTTGACTGAATTTGAAAACTGAGTAAAAATCATAATTTTGGATATATGTTATATGAATTCAGTTCCTTTTTTCCTCCCGTTTTAACTGGAGCACACAATTAAAATTCATGTTCTACAGTAACTGGAGACCTCACCCATCTATAGTACCTGACTATATAATCTTTCCTGTTGAGCATAGTTAAGCTAATTATTCTGACAGAAGTCACTTACCTAATTAAGTGAAAAATGCACAGTAGGTAAGAAGCTTTAATTAGCGGTTGTTTCCAATTGTACATTCATACTCTATTGGTGGAGGGAGGGGTGGAGGGTGTGAATGGAGTCACTGAGTTAAATTGTATTTTCCCTAATGGAACTTGGTGTAAAAACTTGTGTGTTTATTGGGAGAAAAATAAGGAATTGCAACCTAATTCCACAAGAACAAATTAGACCTCCTGAAGTACCTATAAAAGTAAAATGGAAAAATGCTTTAAATTTAACCATCTCAGTAGAATTTTTTCTTAATATAAGAAGCATCCCAGACTTAAGACTTTGAGACTTCAAATGTAATAAATATTAACTCCCCAAAAAAGGAGCTCAGTGGTTAGAGCATCGGCTCTTGGACTGAAGGGTCCCGGGCTCGATTCTGGCCAAGGGCACAAACCTTGGTAACAGGCTCAGTACTCCCCCCCCCTTGGGGCTTGTGCAGGAGGCAACCAATCAATGTTTCTGTTTCTCTCTCGCCTCCTCCCTCCCTCCCTTCCTCCCTCCCTCCCTTCTTCTCTGAAAAGCAATGGAAAAAATATCCTCAAGTGAAGATTTTAAAAGGGAAAAAAAAGGAAAACCGGTCATACCTATAATGGAATCATATAGGCCCAAATTGATCATTGTCATTATCCTAAAACAATTTATCCTGATGTCTTCATCTCTTCTTCCCTTTTGCTTTTTTTTTTTTTTAATTTAATAATCTTTCTCTTTTCTTATAGTTATGCTTTACCAGAAAGAGAAATGGGCGGGGGTTTTCCCTCAGTTGAAAATTGAATGAGACCATGTGTGAAATCACTTGTGCAATACTTTAGTTTTCCAAGTTCAAGAGGTTAAAAGGTTAGTGTTAAAATGGGAGAAACACTGAATTTCACATATTTCTTTGCTTACCACTCCTCAAAGAATTATTAAGTCTTAAAAAACAAAAGCAGCCTGAGGCATTGCTTCCCTCTGGTTCATTATAAAAAGTAAATTACTAGAAAGATGGAGGAAATTACATAAAAACAAAATTCAGAAAAAAAAGATTTTGCAGATGACTACAAAGAAAAACAGAAGAAGAACTATTCTACTGGAAGTGTATTGGTTTTGTCTCCTTAGTCTTTTAGTGTAGAATAGAGGTTCTGTAATATACTATAGTAGGCTCATTCCATTAAATGAGAGCTGCAGTGGAGAGAACGATGGGGTCTTAAAAATAATGTCATTACTTTCTCTCTTAATTTACAGAAGTTGCTGGGTATGCTTTGCCACTGATGAAGATGATAGAACTGCTGAATGGGTGAGACCATGCAGGTGCAGAGGATCTACAAAATGGGTGCACCAGGCTTGTCTGCAGCGCTGGGTGGATGAAAAACAAAGAGGAAACAGTACAGCCAGAGTGGCATGTCCTCAGTGCAATGCTGAATACTTAATAGTTTTTCCAAAGTTGGGTAAGAAGATCCTTAAAAGCAACAAAGATATATGTGATGTTATTATCCATAACTCTGTAATCTCAGGTTTATTTTAAAGTGAGCCATCTCTGCTTTTTTGTGAATTTCTTACTCCCTTTCTGTTGTTTCCTCTAAATATCAGGCATTTATTTGTTTTGCTAACAGTTTACCTTATCATTAATATATCCCCAGATCCATCATTTGTCTGTGCATTAAATGTTTTCATTTGGTTGCGTGGATAGAGAACTTGAACCTCTAACTTTGTGTATAAAATCAAATAACAAAGCTATAATAAAAAGCTGACTAAAGAGCCTCATTCTCTGGAGACCATTGCTGTAGGAAAAAGAAAACAATAGTGTGTTCCTTCTAATACTTATCCTTAATTCAATATTAAGGAATAAAAGTAGGGAAATTAAAGATTTAGTAAAAGATTTAACAACGTTAAACTCATCTTTGGAATCCAATTTATGTGGTTATCTTGCAAGCAAACTGCTTTCCTTTTTCTGCGAATTGGTGAGCCAGGAACAACCAAAGGTCTTTCTAGCATTGAAAAAAAAGTATAGCAGACTTGAAAGGAAGCCGTAACTAACACTGATACTTACTTAGCATGTTCCATTACAGGCCATGTGTTTATGAACTGGTGTCTTTCTCTTTGTTTGATGTTTATGCCAAGCCAGTTGTAAACATTTTTAATATTCTTGGCTGTAATCAAGAGGTATGTGAAGACAATTTGGGTTCTGAGAAGGAAGGAATGACTTTTGGGGCGAGTAGGTTCAAGGAGAAATTGGAAATAATTATTAGATATGCTGCTTTTTCTAGGTGCCATACTTATTGAAGTAAGGCCCATGTTTTTAAATGAGGCAACATAAATGTAGGTAATGAAGTGCTTTTGTAATGTGAGAAGATTAATAATGGCAAACAAAATTACCATGGTTGTCTGTATTTCTCTAGCTTAATGCATATGAAGAAAGGCTAGGTTCCTATATGAAAGGAAAGTAGCATAGTAGAGAAAGTAGTGTTTCTCAAACATTTAGGTGGGTCTTCATGCACACTACTGATTTTAGAGAAAGTAAACACAAAAGAGTGATCCAAAATTTTTTATCATAATATCAAAGCAGTATTTTATTTATTTATTCCTTTTTTAAATATATCTTTATTGATTTCAGAGAGAGGAAGGGAGAGAGAGAGAGAAACATCAATGATGAGAGAGTTGTCATTGATTGGCTGCCTCCTGCATGCCCCTGGCCAGGGATCGAGTCCACAACCCCGGGCATGTGCCCTGACCGGGAATCAAACCTCGATCTCCTGAATCCTAGGTCAATGCTCAACCTCTGAGCCATGTCCAGCCGGGCTCAAAGCAGTATTTTAAATAATTTAATGGGGAAACCATTACTGCTGCAATCTTTAACTACATTGATATCTGGCTCACTAAAGTCAAAGTTAAGATTTCGTATTTAAATGTTTCTTTCTCTTATTTCTACTAAATTAGATATCTTTAACTGTTTTGGTATTGGAGTAATACTGGCCTCAGAACAAGTTGGGAAGTGATCTCTTAAATTTTTTGTGAAGAGTTTGTGAAGGATTGCTGTTAATTCTTTACATGTTTGGCGACAGTGAAGCTGTCTGATCCAGGGCATTCTTTATAGGAAGTTTTTTATTACTAGTTTAATCTTTTTATTTATAGGTCTATTTAGATTTTCTATGTCTTCTTGAGTCAGTTTTGGTAGTTTGTGTCTTTCTAAGAATTTGTCCATTTCATTTAGATTATCTGATCTGTTGGAATATAATTGTTCATAGTATTCTTTTATAATCCTTTTTATTCCTGTAAGGTTGGTACTGTATTAATGTCCCCTCTTCGATTCGTGGTTTTAGGAATTTGAATCTTCTCGTTTTTCTTGGTCAATCTAGTTAGTTTTATCAGTTTTGTTGGTCTTTTCAAAGACTCAACTTTGGTTTCATTGATGTTTCTCTTTTTATTATTTTCTATTTTATTTATTTCCACTCTAGTCTTTATTATTTCCTTCCTTCTGCTTGGTTTGGGTTTAGTTTGCTTTTCTTTTTCTAGTTTTTTTAAAGTTGGAAGTTTAGATTATTTAATTTTTTTAATAGATTTTAATTTTAGAGCAATTTTAGGTTCACAGTAATTGAGAGGAAGATACAGAGAGAACTCATATACTCCCTGCTTCCTCCTCACATGCATAGTCTCCTCCATCACCAGAGTGCTATATTTGTTACAGCTGATAAACCTATATTGATATATCATTATTACCCAAAGTCCATGGTTTATATTAGGGTTCATTCTTGGTTTACATTCTATGGGTTTGGACACATGTGTAATGTTATGTATCTACTTTTAAAGTATAATACATAGTGTTTTCACTGTCTTCATATTTTTTACCTTTTTCAGAATGTCATATAGTTGGACTCATACAGTATATATAGCCTTTCAGATTGGCTTCTTTCCATAAGTAATACATATTTAAAGTTTCTCCATGTCTTGATGGTTCATTTCTTTTTAACATTGAAAATATTCTATTATCTTGATGTACCACAGTTTATCTATTTACCTACTGAAGGACAGCTTGGTTGCTTACAAATTTTGACAGTTGCAAATAAAGCTGCAGTAAACATCTATGTGCAGGTTTTTGTGTGGACATAGTTTTCAACTTATTTAGGTAAATACCAAGGAGCATGATTGCTGGATCATATGGTAAGAGTATGTTTAGTTTTGTAAGAAACTGCCAAGCTGTTTTTCAAAGTGGCTATATATTTTGCATTCCCATCAGCAAATGATTCCTGTTGCTTTATATATTTTTGTCAGCATTTGGTGGTGTCAGTGTTTTGGGTTTTACATGTTTAGTGGTATTTGTCTTCTGTCTTCTTTGGAGAGGTGTCTGTTAAGTCTTTTGATTAATTTTAAAATCAGATTATTTTCTTGTTGAGGTTTAAGTATTCTTTGTGTATTTTGTATAAGTCTTTTTCAGGTATGTCTTCTGCAATTATTTTCTCTCAGTCTGTAGCTTCTCTCATTTTCTTGATCTTTTTTCAAAGAGAGTGGAAGGTGGGGGAGGGAGAGAAATATCAATGTAAGAGAGACACATCGATTGGCTGCCTCCTGCACGTGCCCCAACTAGGGCCGAGGATTGAGCCTGCAACCGAGGTATGTGCCCTTGACCGGAATCAAACTGAGACCCTTATGTCCGTGGGCCTATGTTCTAACCACTGAGCAAAACTGGCCAGGGCCCTTCTTTTTTAATGTAGTCATTTACAGTTCTGAATTTCTAAGGACTGCTTAAATCTTTTTTGACCTGTTGATTATTTAGGAGTGTGTTGCTTGATTTTCACATATTTGTAAATTTCCCAAATGTCTGTTATGGATTTCTAATTTCATTCCATTGTGATCAAAGAACATACTTGGCTTCTGTCCTTTTATGTGTATTACGGCTTGTTTTATGGTCCAACATGATTTATCTTGGTGAATGTTCCATGTGCTCTTGAGAAGAAAGTGTATTCTGCTGTTGTTGTTTGGAGTGTTTTATAAATATCTAGTTGGTTCATAGTACTTTCTTTTTATTGTTGAAAGTATTACAGATGTCCCCTTTTTTTCTCACATTGATCCCCTCAACCCCACATCAGCCCCACCGCCAGGCCTTCCCCATACTATTGTCTGTGTCCATGGGTTATACATTTATGTATATAAGTTCTTTGATTAATCTCTCCCCACCCACTCTCCCACCACTGCCTTTCCTCAGATTCCTCAGTCTGTTCCATGCTTCTGTTTCTCTGGATCTGTTTTGTTCATCAGTTTATTTTGTGCATTATATTCCAGTGAGATCATGTGATACTTGTCTTTCTCTGACTGGCTTATTTCGCTTAGCATAATACTCTCCAGTTCCATCCATGCTGTCCCAAAGGATAAGAAATCCTTTCTTACAGCTGTATAGTATTCCATGGTGTAAATGTACCACAGCTTTTTTATCCACTCATCTACTGATGGGCATTTTGGCTGTTTCCAGATCTTAGCTAAATAGCTAGTTGGTTTATAGTATTTTCAAGTCCTCTATTTCTGTGTGGCTTTTTTACCAGTCCTTCATTGAAAGAGTGATAGTGAGGTCTTCCACTATTGTTAATTATCTATTTCTCCAGGTCTTTCTATTTTTACTTCGTTTACTTTGGGCTCTGTTGTTAGGTGCATATGTGTTCCTAATTGTTCTATCTTCTTGATTGATTGTCCATTTTACCATTATAAAATGTCCTTTGTTTCTACTAACAATTTTTGTCTTAAAGTCCATTTTAACTGTAAAGTCGACTTTAAAGTATAGGCACTCCCTTCCCTCTCTCATGCCTTAATAAGTTAGTAGTAAATTCATAGGTTACTTTCAAGTCAAATTTTTATTACAGTTTTGTTCTTATTTATTTTACTGTTCTCAACAGAACATCAATTTGAACTTATGTATAGAGTTGAAAATAACTAAAAATCACCCTCAAAAAATGGTTGTAAAATGTTACGTGGAGTGTAAAGCTTAGAAAGGAAAAAGATTTACTAGGGATAATGAGGGATGATTCCTAGGAGAAACCTTTATCTGAGAGAATTTAGCAAATAAAAATAATAGTTGGTTGGATCGTTGTCCTGTGGACCAAGGGGTTCCTGGTTCAATTTCTGGTCAGGACACATATCCAGGTTGCGGGTTCCATCCTCAGTTGGGGCTCATGCAGGAGACATTCGATTGATGTTTCTCTCTCACATCAATGCTTCTCTCTCTCTCTCTCCCCCTTCCACTCTAAAACCAATAAAAAATAATGACAACATTAACAGTGGTATTAATAGCTGTTATTTGCTAACAGTCCACTGATATTTGCCAGGAACTATGCTGGTCACTTTGCCTGTATTATTTTATTTAAGCCTCTCAAAAGCATAGTAGATATTGTTCTTATTTTACAGATAAGAAAACAGAGTCACCAAATTTATTTATTTAATGGAAGCCCATGGGCTTCTAGCA